TTTTTCTCAGTTTCTGTATCTCTGTTAATTAGGACTCTGAGTTTTATGTGCTCTCAGCTGAATAAAAGCTGATGATGATTGAAAGAAAACCTATTTTTAGAAAAGAGCTGAACTACAAGGTATGTATTAGAAAAATGCTACAGAAGAAGTGAGCATAAGCCAAATATCTTTTTTTCAGTATTTTTAAAAGGAAGGACTATTGATTATTTCCCCCCGCCTCCCCAAAGACTGATTGGTTTAGGATGCTGAAACGATGTAATAATGTGCACTTGGCAAGTCAATATTTAAATTTACAGCTTTTCAGAGGCATGGATTTATTGAGGCTACCTCTGACTCCTGCTCTCGGTAGCTGGTGTGTTTCCACATTGTACATCTCTGGATAAACAAGAGTGATGAACACCTGTGGCAGCCAGGGAGTTTTTGCTTTCCATACAGCATATAGAAAAATTTAAGTACCTAATCCTGAAGGAGCATGACACACTAGATTTCCAGAGCGTGGTAATTTTAGATGTTGAAAGCCCATTTCGAATTTTTCTTCTTTTCTAACTTTTCTTGGTACTTTGGATTCTGGCTATTTTTAGCTAGTGAGCAGATGAAGCATGGACAGGGCAATTTCATGCAAAATCAGCTGTTTGAACCTCACCAGAAATGCAGACCTTTTAGATCAGTCCAGTCAGGTGAACTTGTACTGAGTCTCCAGCAAATAGAAATCATATTGTTTTCGCATGTAAATGTATGTGATAAAACCAAACTTGAAGGAGTTTAAATATGATTAGAGATACACCTTTAGAAGTCAGAAAGTACAGTATGAAAATTGCTTACTCGTATGCATAATGATATATTCTTGATCACACATAGTTCTGTGGTTTTTTGGTGTCTTCTTCCCAGGATCGCTGCCTTCTTGTGTGCAGAAGGAATAGTATGTATCGAATGAGCAGAGCTTTTTTTGTTGATGGTTATTTTTGTTTTCTTTCCCCTTACTAGTTTTCATTGTGTAACCTTGTGCCTTACTGTATACCATTCAGAACAGGATTTGAGGATGAAGTTATTATTTTCCTCTTTGGCATTTCTGTAGAACTCTATCACTACAGTATTTCAGTGCTTCAGATGTTAATTGATTTTCATAGCACCCCACTGAGATGGGGAATTATTATTAACCAGGGAAATAGAGCACAAGGAGATTGAGGTCAGAAGTACTGCTCAGTTTGAAAGCTGGGTTTGAGGCACCTGTGACCCGCTTTTTTTTTTTTTTTAATATTCACAGAAAACTCTTTAATTTAATTGCAACTGTAAATAATTCTGCATTTCTTTGTATGAGTCAATGGCTGTAATAGAGGCAGCTGTATAGTAAGGAAAACTCAGGTGATCACTCGTGGAATTTTTTGCATAAGTGATGTGTCTGGTTTCGTGTAAAAACCTTTGAGCAGAAGTTGGGAAAAGGACCTAAGTCATAACACAGCACTGAGATGTTATGACCCAAGAGATTTTTCTTTCTTTATTACGTTTTTCTGACTCATACCATACTTAGCCTCCAATTCCTGTGACAAAGGAAACAAGGCTCTACCTACAGGAGTCTCTTCTACTCCCTGACCGTACATAATTCATCACTACAATGGGTGCACTCAGGACAACAAATAAGCCAAGGTTCTTTTTGGAGAGTCTGTGAAATGTTCTTAATTAAAAAATAATTCCTGATGTACTTGCATAGAGGTTGCCTTATGTTTCTTAATTTGGAGTGCCTATGTACCCTTAATTTTCTTTTAACTTTGATTTAATATAAACAGTTTTTGGTTCTCTTCTGTATTTCTGTGTCAGTCTGCCTTCTGGCATCAAATGTCCACATACAGCAGTGTCCTAATAGTTTAAAATGGCAGCAATGTCAAGGAGTCAGTATCCAGTAGAGTTGCTTCACAGTTGCAGAAGTTTAGCTGTTTTAAAAGTGAGACGACTCAAAGTAGAGAGCTTGTTCAGTAGGATGTCAGCTGTCATAGAGTTGACATATGAAGATAATTCCTTTCCTCAGTAGAATATTGTTTCTCTGAGTTGGCAGCACAGAAATGATTATTAGAATCAAGAAAGATCATTAAAACTGAATGCTTTGATAGCCATCTCACCTTAGCTTTTTTTCATAAGAAATTAACTAATCATGACTTTCAGAAGAATAAAAATCCTCTGAAAATGTGAATTAAGATAACCGTAAACTCATCTGCTTTGGTACTCCCGAGAATAGTGCTATCAACAAATTCTATCTGGAAAAAGATAGAAACTTACCAAAATATATTTTAAGAAGTAATTCTACACTGATCTTCACTCTAGTCTCATTTCTTGTTTCTCTTAGATTATGGGTTTATTGTATTTTAGATGGATGTTGTCTTTTGAGAAGGAGTTAATTATCCTGTCTTTCAGTTTAAATTTTATTTTGGGTCAATTTAATTGTTTTCGTCTAGTTTTTTAGAAGGGTCTGTTGTTAATAATGCTACATGAAGACTCTGCCTCAGGCTCCTTTTAACTCAGTAAAAGTGAATTTGAGTTTGGGCCTTTAGACAAATATTTTTTGGTCCTACCGGAGACATCTATCTTGTTGACTTCTGTGCTCTATGTTGACCTCTCAGTTCAAGAAAAGACAGAAATAGAGGGAAGTCAAACACGATCTCCCTGCTTGACAGAAAAGCGATGTATGTTCTGGACGTGGTGACCTTCCCATAACTGTCTTTAAAACGCCTGGATCTTTTCAAATTTGTGCTGAAGAATTAACGTAACAGATTTATATAATGGACTCGGTAATTGTGCTGTACTGGTAGATCTTGTTTAAGGCATTTCCTCACAATGTAACTAAATCATCAGATCAATCCGGGAGGGAGATTGCAATTATTTAGCCTCTCTTGTGTTGGAAAGCCATGTAAATGAAAATACTCATTAAAGCAGTCTAATTAGAGAACTGCTTATTATTAAATTTTTATTATTATTCTGTGTTTTGTTGCATGTGATTTAGACTGTGTGGTTACTTTTGATCACTAATGATTGCATAATGCTTACATATCCTGAAAAACATGATGGTAACCTGGTGAACGCACAAAAGCGTGTTTATTTTCTCCAGCAGTACCGGTTAGCATAATAAAAACATCACCTCTTTTTGTAAGCTTTCCTTTTCTTAGCACATAACAATATGCCTGGCATTTTACAAAATACAGATCATGTTACTGTCTTGTACTAAAGATGTTATTGTCAAGCAAAGGGAAAGCAACAGTTGAGATCACAGAAAATTAGGACATCGTAAGTGAATAAATTAATGATGGCAAAGATTCAGAGAACTTTAAGGAGAGACTTGAGAGAGAAGGTAGGGGAAGACTGGAAGATTGTGCTAAGTGTGGAGAGGGATACCGAGGAAAGATGAAGCCATAGTTCAGCATGGAGTGCTGAGAGAATCAAAGGGAATAAGAAGACAAATGAGAACAGAAGAAAATTAGATTAAAAAAAAAAAACAACTACAATTTTGGTTTTTTACTTATCTCAACTGAGTGCTGTTTGAAAGCATTTAAATTAAAAGTGACGCTTACGCTGGTTGTGTCTATAGCTATTTTCTTACTGCCACTGAAGTGACAGGAACTTTCCATCCCTGAGGTAGTCTGATAGAGCCCAGGGTGATGTCTTTATGTGTATTGGTTATGGATGGACCCAAAAGGAAACCATAGTTGGGAACTGCTATGGTCTTCTAGCTAAGACCCCACAGGCAGCTGCATTATGGTATGGCATAGGCTCACCATAGAACCTTTATGGGATTAAGAAACATCCTAAATTTGGGAGATTACCTGGTTGCTGATTCCAGCAAGTACAAAGAAGCTTTTTTATGGAGAGTCCTGGATTACGAACTGCAATCTGAGGGTTTAGAAGTTTTTCTATAACACAGATATTTTGTTTTCAAGGTAGAAGTATTTATAAGGATTTATTTTCTAAGTTGGAGGTGAGGATTCTGTTGGTTTCTCCTTTAGGGGGTTACAAAGGTAATAGAGAAAAGCACCATTTGGTATTTACCGACCTAAAGGTATTATCTCACGCTGAGGATAACTGGAACCCAAAGCTAGTTGATTAGCTGTTGTAGTTCCAGCTCTGACATTCGAGCTCATACACACATTTTTCAGGTTTGATTGCAATGATTTCCATCTTTTTATAGAAACACAGCATCGTAAGCAATTGCTTTTTTATCTACGGAGCTGGGTATGTCTAGGGAACAACTCAGTTGCCTAAACGTGGGCATTTGGTGTCTTTGGATATGCAGATTATCCACATGGGTCTTCCAGAGATGATGCAGCACTTACAGCAGACTTTTATCCTTTTGTGGTAGCAGCTGCTTACCAAGCAGGATTATCTTTGGTCTTCTAAAATGGCATTGGACAACAAGGTTTTGGCACCCGCACTCATCCCTAGTTGTAAAAATGTAATTGAATTGGAGATGGTAGCAGGCAAAGGTATGGGATTTATCTGAAAGATAACATTTTCTGGTACTTCTGGTTTTGTTCTTTTAAAGACCACTCAATGGTAAACTTGGAACATTTTTAAGTAATAGTTCTAATTTGTAATTAGCACAGGTTTTATGGTAGATTGATACATGTATTAAATTAACAACTCTGAGCTTGCAAGAGAGAGATATCCTAATTTTCTTTCTTTTTTTTTTTACTCCTCGAGAAATGCAGTAAGCATATGTTCTGTGGTAAAAATGCACCTACAATTAAATAACTAGTCATTTCCTGTGAGTTTTAAAGTTGAACTGCAAGCCTGAAGGACAGAAAACATGCCACGTTGCTCTTGTTAAACTGTCAAATTATTACTGCATATGAGACTAGAGGATTTTCAGTTTCTTCTCAAAGCGTATTTATGGGATGAGTCAGTAAAGCAGTTATCTAATGTGTCCATGTTAACTGCACATAGAGTTTTATATTCTGTTATGTTTAATTACACTGTTACCAGGCTAATACTTTGGGATTTTTATCTCTTTTTCACAGGATTCTGCTCAAGAGAGTGTCATTACACGAGATATTCATCGGACATTTCCAGCACATGATTATTTCAAAGATACAGAAGGAGACGGTCAGGAATCTCTATACAAAATCTGTAAGGTACAGTCAGTACTATGAATTTTAAAGTGTGTTCCATGTTTTGCTGTGACTGTATTTTGCCCTACTAACCCTGTTCTGATCCAAGTCACTAATCAATAAGATTTTAAAGCTTTATTTAGATTGCATGTGGAGAGTGTAGTGTTTCTGCAGTGCTGAATATCCTGAAGTACTTTTTATAACCTTGCATTTTGTGTCTCCTGAGATGCATATGAGAAGAGCAAGGGTCAAGCTAGCTTTACTAATGGGCAGTTGGATATCAGAGATCCACTTCAGTGGAAACATGGCGTAATAGAACTTTTTTTGCTCTGCTGGTAGGGAGGTTTGCAAAGGAAGAGAAACCCTCAGGGCAAGCTCTGCTATGAGCTTTAGCAAGAATGTCGCTAAATAATTACTTAGAGAACGTTAACTTAGCTTTCCACAAGCAATTTGTGTATATAGTGTTTCACTCAGCTCTCAGATCACTTCTGATCGAAGAATAATCTATTTTTTTTTCCAATTTGCACGTGGGAAAGTTGAAATACTAAATGAATCGATTTCTACAGCTTCTACAGACAGACGTGTTGCTCAGGGGAGATCCAGAAGGTAGAATTTTGCAGGTAGATAGAGAGTTTTCTGGCTGTTAGTTGCACATTATATTGTGTTTCTGGAAGGCAGTTTTCATTTTACATTTTTTTCTACGTGTTGAATGAATGATTGCCTTAGACATAGTCATTTCCACTTCCCTTCCTTTTCCTTGTTACTCTGTTTCCACCTCCAGGGACAGGCAAGGAAGAAGAGGAGGAGGGGTGGCCCTGCATGTTAGGGAGGATTATGAATGTCTAGAACTTATTGAGGGCAATGGTAGAATTGAGTGCCTATGGGTAAGAATCAGGGGGAGGGCCAGTCAGGCTGATATTGTGGTGGGAGTCTGTTACAGACCACCCAACCAGGATGTAGAGGTAGATGAAATGTTCTATAAGCAGCTGGCAGAGTTCTCAAGATCACGTGCCCTTGCCCTGGTGGGAGACTTCAACCACCCAGATATCAGCTGGGAACGCAACACAGCTGAGAGGGAACAGTCTAGAAGGTTCCTGGAGTGTGTCGGGGATAACTTCCTGAGACAGCTGGTGAGGGAGCCGACTAGGGAAGAAGCATTGCTGGATCTGGTGTTTGCAAATAGAGAAGGCCTTGTGGGGGATGTGGCAGTTGGAGGCCGTCTGGGGCATAGTGACCATGAAATGATAAAGTTTTCAATTCTTAAGGAGGCGAGAAGGGGAACCAGTAGGACTGCCATCATGGTCTTCTGGATGGCAGACTTTGGTCTTTTCAAGGGTCTGCTTGACAGAGTCCCTCAAGAGGCAGCCCTGAAGGGAAAAGGAGTCCAGGAAGGCTGGACATTTTTCAAGCAGGAAGTCTTAAAAGCGCAGGCGCAGGCCGTCCCTCTGCGCAGTAAAGCGAGCCGTTGAGGGAAGAGACCGGCCTGGCTGAACAAAGAGACATGGTCACAGCTCAGGGAAAAAAAGAGAGTTTATGGCCTTTGGAAAAGGGGGCAGGCCACTCAGGAAAATTATAAAGCTGTAGCAAAGTTATGTAGGGAAAAGATTAGAAAGGCCAAAGCCCAGCTTGAACTGAACCTGGCCTTGGATGTTAAAACAACAAAAAGAAATTCTATAAATATATTAGCAGCAAGAGAAGGACTCGGGACAGCCTCCATCCGCTATTGGATATGGGAGGCAATGTAGTGACAAAGGATGAGGAGAAGGCTGAGGTACTGAATGCCTTTTTTGCCTCAGTCTTCAGTAATGGAGTAGGGTGTCCCCTGAGTACCCAGACCCCTGAGGGAGCAGAATGAAGCCCCTGTCATCCAAAGGGAAGCGGTGAGGGACCTGCTCCAGCACCTAGACACAAACAAGTCTATGGGCCCAGATGGGATTCACCTGAGGGCACTGAGGGAGCTGGTGGAAGTGCTTGTGGAGCCACTCTCCATCATTTACCAGCAGTCCTGGCAAACTGGCGAGGTCCCAGTTGACTGGTGTCTAGCAAACGTGACACCCATCCATAAGAAGGGTCAGCAGACTGATCTGGGGAACTACAGGCCTGTCAGTCTGACCTCGGTGCCTGGGAAGGCCATGGAATAGATCATCCTGAGTGCCGTTATGTAGCGCATGAAGGACGCTCAGGTGATCAGGCCCAGCCAGCACGGGTTCATGAGGGGCAGGTCCTGCTTGCCAAGCCTGATCTCCTTCTATGATAAAGTGACCCGCTTGCTGGATGAAGGAAAGGCTGTGGATGTTGCTTACCTGGACTTTAGCAAGGCCTTTGATACAGTCTTCCACAGTATCCTCCTGGAGAAACTGGCTGCCCATGGCTTAGCTGAGTATACTCTCCACTGGGTTAAAAACTGACTGGAGGGCTGGGCCCAGAGAGTGGTGGGGAATGGAGTTAAATCGAGCTGGTGGCAGGTACAAAGGCTCTACAGAGAGATCTTGACCGGCTGGATCAATGGCCTAAGGTTCAACAAGGCCAAGTGCCTGGTCCTGCACTTGGGTCACAACAACCCCAGTCAGCGCTACAGGCTTGAGGAGGAATGGCTGGAGGACCATGGGGGTGTTGGTCGACTGTGGGCTGAACATGAGCCAGCAGTGTGCCCAGGTGGCCAAGAAGGCCAATGGTATCCTGGCCTGTAACAGGAACAGTGTGGTGAGTAGGACCCGAGAGGTGATTGTCCCCCTGTACTCGGCACTGGTGAGGCTTCACCTC